AGAAGAAAACCAAGATAGACAAGAATCAGTAATATTAAAAGAAAGATGCAGCAGTCTCAAGAGAATAGTATGGTCAACAGTATCAAAAGCTGAAGAAAAATCAAGAGCAAGAAGAAGAGTAAGATTACTATTGTCACTAGAGAGAAGGATATCATTGTGTATTTTAAGTAAAAAAGTTTCAGTACTGTGAGCAGGTCTGAAACCAGATTGAGATACAGGTAGCAAAGAGTTAAAGTCTAAATAGGATGAGAGTTGATTAAAAACAGCTTTTTCTATTATTTTAGAGATGAAAGTAATATTAGTTACAAGTCTATAATTAGATAAAGAGGTAGGATCTAGGGATGTGTTTTTAAGAATAGGAATAACAATAGAATTCTTATAAGAAGTAGGAAATTTAGAGGTGGAAAGAGATAAATTAACTAATTTGAGAATGATTGGATAAAATATTGAAGAGAATTCTTTAAGTAAATTAGAAGGAAGTAGATCTAGAGAGGAGTTGTAGACGACATAGAATTAATAATTTTAGTTAGTTCTAAAAGATTTATTGGAGTAAATATAGAGAAAGATTCAGTAGTAAGTTTAGTAAAGTTATGAGAAGGAAAATTAGAATTAGATGTTCTTAAAGAAGTAATTTTATTTACAAAAAAGTCATGAAACTGTTGAGCAGAGAAAGATGAGTGAGATTTTTTATGTAGAAGTTTAGATAGAACGGACCACCTATTTTTAGATGTTGAAGCAGATGTTATAGATGTTATTCATGTTATAGATGTTATTCAAGCGGGCCGCCTAGCAAGACATAGACTATTAGCGATTCCTTGGTTTTTTATTCATTTTTATATAGTTGATCTTCTTGTTAATCTTTAATTTAAATACCAGTTTTTAATTAAAATGTTAAAAAAATATTTAAAAATTAGAAAAAAATTTAAAGTTTTCTATGTATTTATTATCTCAGTCCGCTTTGAAAAGCTTGCGAAGTTCTTTGAGTTTTTAATTTTTACGCACAAATTTCTAATCACAATAAACATTTTGTCACAATAATGTCATTATTATCACAAAATTGTCATTCCTGATATTTAAAAAATGTTGAATCGAGCTGATTAAGACAAAATTTGCTCTTCTCCAGTCGGGCTGACATCGGCGCTTGACCGAAGTTGGCTGATTTAAATTTTCTTCCAACAAAATCTCTCCTATCTGAACCGCATTATCACTATATTTATTCTAGCTATATGGTCCATTCTAACTTGAACCTTTCAGTCTTTTATTTTAAATTCAATGGCAACACTGTTTAAAATTGAATTTTGTGCAGGAGGAAGCCATCTTTGTATTCTTTTTTAATTTTTTTGTTTCGTATTTAAAAGTCATGTCTGCTATCAAGAAAAGAAAAATAGATGACGAATGTCGAGTATTTAATGAGGAATGGACAACTAAATATTATTTCACTAACGTCGGTGGAAAAGCAGTCTGCTTAATTTGTCGCGAGTCCATAAATGTTTTCAAAGAGTATAATTTGAAAAGGCATCAGCAATCGAAACATTTAGATTTTGGAAGCAAATTCTCAGATGAAGATCGAAAAAGGAAATGCCAAGAATTGCTTAAAAATTTAAAAACACAGCAAAACGTTTTTACCAAACAATCTTCAATCCAAGTGGCTGCAACAGAAGCTAGTTTGGTATTATCTCACAAAATAGTTAAAAATAGTAAATCATTTTCTGATGGCGAGTTCGTCAAAGAATGCTTGCTGGATGCAGCAAACATCATGTGTCCAGAGCAGAGAAAAAAATTTGATAGTATTTTTTTATCAAGAAGAACTGTAGTCAGACGAATTACCTTGATAAGTGAAAACTTGTTGCAACAGCTTCAAATTGCTAGTAAAAAATTTTTGTGGTACCCTCTTGCTTTGGATGAAAGCACAGATATGCAAGACACATCACAACTCTTAGTATTTATAAGAGGAATCAATAATTGCTTTCAAATTACTGAAGAGTTGCTCAGTGTTGAATCACTAAAGGACACAACTACTGGCCAAGATTTATTCGATTCTGTGGAAAATTGTATTGAAAAAAATGGATTAGCCTGGAACAAATTAGCAAGTGTAACAACTGATGGTGCTCGAGCTTTGACTGGAAAAAACAAAGGTTTGTTGACACTGATAAACAGAAAAATAAAAGAAGAACATCCAGATCATGCACTTATATCTATTCATTGTGTCATTCATCAAGAAAATTTGTGTAAAGTTGGATTGAAAATTAAGCATGTTATTGACTCAGTTGTTGGGGTAATAAACATCATCAGAGCCAGAGGTCTTAACCACAGACAGTTCAAAACATTGCTTGAAGATATGGAAAGTGAACATTCTGACATACTCTACTACTGCAGTGTTCGTTGGCTAAGTCTTGGCAGGGCACTGAGTCGAGTCTGGGCTCTCAAAGAAGAAATAGTTCTTTTTTTAGAAATGAAAAGTATCAATTCTGATTTTACTACAAATATTAAAAATGAACAATGGAAATTAGATTTTATGTTTGCCATTGACATTATTGAAAAGTTAAATGAATTGAACAATAAACTTCAAGGCAATGGTTTGTTTGCACATGACATGTATTACCATGTTAAATCATTTCAATCAAAACTTGCCCTGTTTTCTAGACAAGCAGATGAAAACAAGTTCTGTCATTTTCCATTGCTAAAACAGGAACTAATTTCTGCTGAAGTAGCACAGAAATACAAAGAACAAATACATGATTTAGCTAGGGAATTTGAAAGAAGATTTGAAGATTTTAAAAACCTGGAGCCTTTGTTTACAATTCTCACAACACCATTTTGTATAAAAGCTGATGAAATACCTGAAGACTTGCAGTTGGAACTGCTGGACATGCAAGCAAATTGTGAACTGAAAGAAAAGTTTAAATCAGGTCTTTTGTTAGAATTTTATGGCTCTCTGTCTGATGTAGCATTTCCAAATTTTAAAAGATTTGCTGCAAAAATGTTTTCAATATTTGGATCCACATATATATGCGAACAAGCATTCTCTTGTATGAAAATAAATAAATCCAAAAATAGGTCCATGATAAATGACTGCACCTAAATGCAATAATGAGAATAGTGACAAGTGATCTGGCTCCACAATTCAAGAACATTGTTGAAAATTGTGAACAGTTCCATACTTCCCATTAATTAGAAAAACTTTTGTTAATAAAACTTATTTTTTATATCAGATTTACTGTAAAACCTGTTATATATGTAATTGACAATTTTTGCAAATAAATAAAAACGTAATTTTTGGCATAAATAATTTATTTATAGCTTTAAAAAACAAACACACACACACACACATATATATATATAATGAATATATATATATATATATATATATATATAATGAATATATATATATATATATAATGATGCGGCCCTCCAAAAGTAAAACGTTTTTCAATGTGGCCCTTACGAAAAAAAGTTTGCCCACCCCTGATCTAATGCCTTAGTCCAATCATCCAGAAGTTTCAAGAGTTGCATTACCGTTGATTTACCTTTTACAAATCCATATTGTCTAGGGTCAATCAAATCATTATCAGTTAAATACAACATCAACATATACTAAAACAATACTATTAATGAATTATCTTAATCAAGTACACCTACTCAGACATCTATATCTATATACAACGTAAATACATATAAATACTTTAAAAAGTATAGTAATAACCAATAAATGTCAATAACTATATATTAACCTAACAATATACATATATTTAGTTCACACATACATTCAAACACTCGTTTGCTTATACACATTCTTGTCTATACACAAATTCATCACACATACTTACACATAAAATAAAATAATAATAACAAAATAAATTAAATAAATAGTAAATAAGTATACCTAAATAGAAATTCTATAATTAAAAAAACCATCTCAGCAGAGGCAAATGATAGTTATTGATGAAAATATGACAGAGAAAAGGATCTAGGAGTGAGTGGGAAAGTATCAGGGCAATTCAGAGAGACTGACAGAAGTGCAAATAAAGTTCTGGCAACAATGAAACGAAAACAGTTAAAACATGAAATAAAATTGTTTTATTTAAATAAATCATAAAACATTAGTCCAGCGAAAATTAGAGTAGTACTCTATTTATGCTTACAATCAAAATTTACAAAAGAGCAAGGAAATGCTCAAGAAACTCAAGGAAGTACAACAAAAACAAATAAAAGATAGTATGGTATAACAATATTATATGAGGGCAGATTAAAAATTTGTGGCCCGACAACTTTGTTATATGTAGGACATGTCGATACTTGATTCAAAAAACAAAATTAATTTTAAAAGATGGTTTAGAGATAGCAAAATTTTAAGAACTGAGAAATGATGACAAAGCTAATACAAAATACTAATAGTATTAGATACATTAAACTAACCCAAATAATATTGATTTTATTGCTATACTTTCAAAGCAAGACGGCATAAATAGAGCTATAGATCAACCCAACTGCTTCAAGCTCAAACTTTGCTAAGCGTTTATTAAAAAACTAACAGTAATGGAGTCACTAACCTAAACCAAGTAACTACATAAATCACATTTACGACTTCGCTTTCTCAACTGGAAACCTGACTTAAAAACTGTGTCTACTCATGATATTATCTAGGCATCTTTTTACGATTATCTACATTCCAAAGCTTATAAATATAGCAAAGATAACAAAAAATAAAATAACAAATGTAAAAGAGCAATATAATCACTATGGCATATGTGAAATTAACCTCACCTTAGCCTGTTAGTCCTTAACATAGGCGTTGTTACATCTTTATTTCGATTAACAAAAGATAAATTATTCAACTGGACAACTTTCGTTTTTGTCCATTTTCTACCACGATCTTGTGTCCTGTAGGCCGCGTCATTTATTTCCTTAATTGCCCTGTATGAATCTTCCAAATTTCCTTGGAGTTTTGAGTTCTGTGCGTTGTACGGCAGATGAAATTTAAATGAATGACAAAAATAAGATTATATTTTATTACAAAAATACCTTTTCAATGGAGTATAAAGAAGATGAAAGAATTTTAAAAGAAATAATACGCAGAAATACGTTGTTGTGTTAGTTGCTCAGATGGTAAGCAGGTAGAAACTACAGTCAGACCTCCTATATATATAGGTAACAAAAAACTATAAACCAAATTTTGTACTTGCGTTGCTATTTTACATATGAACTGTTTCTATAGAACAAATTAAATTTCTCCAAGAGGTTATTTAGTTAGTATCTACCTACCGTTAAAACAAATTCTTTTACGACATTATGGACAGCCGAACTTGCTTACCATCATCAGTTCACATTTCGGAGAACGACCACTCAAGCTGCATCAGTACAACTTTCACCCCAACTAATAGAAGTTCTCATTCATTAATGGCTCTTGATACTCCAATGTAAATATGAAAGTTTATTTCATTGTAAAATTTTATTATGGAAAAATTTTTCAATTTTTTTTATTATGAAAACTAATTTTAAACGCTATTAATTAATACATTTAACATCTCTTTCCCGTAATTAGTTTTATTAATCATGACGATCTACTTGATAAATTACAATTTATACATATATAAACAAATGAGTTCATTTGAACAATTTGAATAACTGAATTGACCTTGTGATTGTTGAATCATGTGAATTGTGTTAGTCACAGGCCATCCGTATTGGAGAGCTGCGAATATTTATAGTACAAAAAATATTTGGTACGTTGATTTATCGATTGCGTTATTTTTACCGGTGAAAAGAGAAACCTATATCCTTGGTTGATTTTTTAACAGAGCTATTATTACAATAAATTATAATTTTATTTGTTTGTAACTGCAAAAATATAATATTTTCTTTAAAAAAATTTCTTCGTATAAACCAATAAATGATCGTTATTTGCTTTTTTCAAGTTGTCACGTAATGAACTAATGTTTTGACCGTATTCTTAAAAAGGAATATATTAATGCACTCAATCTATTAACAGAAATTGTGCTTTGTACCATTTTATACTTTGTAGGCATTCTTCTGTAGAAACTTTCAATGTCTATTAATATTTATATTAACAATAACATTTTATTAAAATGTATAAAAAAAACTCCCGCAAACGACTTTTTCAAAGTTATGTGTGTCCACCAGTGATGACGTAAGTACTCAAAAAATGTACTTAAGTATAAGTACTAAGTACTCAATAATAAAAGTACTTAAGTATAAGTACTAAGTACCAAAACAAATTGTATACTTGATACTTATAAGTACTAAGTATAAGTACTAAGTACATAAGTACCTAAGTACATACCATGGTTAATTTGAAATATTTATAAATTTATTAAACTCAGAAATCAACTCATTATTTACAGTAATTTATTTACATCAATAAAAGAGTTTGTTCTTTTTGAGTAAAAGTAAAGTTTCAAATGATTCATCACTTAAACGATTTCTTTTAGGAGTGAGAATCATTCCAGCCTGGCTAAATATACGTTTTCATCAAAATCACTTCAACACATATATTTATAATGTAAACGAAAACACTTCAACACCTACATCTATAATGTAAACAAAAACACTTCAACACGTATATTTAAAATGTGAACAAAAACACTTCAACACATATATTTATAAGGATTGTTATATATATATATATATATATATATATATATATATATAAATAATAACTACTATATATAGCGTGCATGTGTATATAGATCATGTAGAGTCTATGATATAGATATATAGATGTCAGAGTGATGTGAGTTAACCACCTTTTTTAATGACTCAATTAGCCAATGGTTATCTTAACATCCCGCTATCCATGACTAAACAAGAACAAATGTTGATAAGAGAGATAAACAAGAAGGTCAATGTGAAAATGTGTGTGTGTGTTTTCATCACAGTTTTCAATTTTTAAATGTTGACATTATCTTATTTTTGCTTAAAATTTTTCTGGTACTTACAGGAAAAATTTATTACTTATAAGTACAAGTACTGGAAAATGTACTTAAGTATAAGTATTTAAGTACAGGTTTTCATATATACTTAAGTATAAGTATCTAAGTACTACATTTGTACTTAAGTACGTACTTAAGTACAAATGTACTTAAGTACTCGTCATCACTGGTGTCCACCAGCCTCGCCAGGATTTCCCTGACGACACTAATGTAAAAAATATAATCAGAAACATTCAAACTGATTTTCATCGTTCTAATAACCGATAAAAGCGAAGGGAAAAAATTAATTTTCATTCATTCATATCCGAATGAAGTTACGTAATTGTTACTGAAATGTGTGAACAACAACATCCGAACATGTGATCCAACATTACACAGAAGTAGGTGCATGAAGCGATGTTGAACGCCACCAGTGCGTCATAGGGAGGGTCGAACCCTCCTGGAGAGGGCAGCAGCAGCTCCGTAGCCCCACAACCCACCAAAGACCATCAGACAGCCTGTCGTAAGGAACGTCACGTTATAACTCCTCGATACTTCATATATGAATCCTTGTTGCAACAAACATTTTGACAAATATTAAACAGTAAATAAATAGAATGTTTTTTCATTCTGGTTATTTAAAAAATCCATTATATTGTGTGCTTTTAAAATTAAAATACATGTTTAGAACTTTTTATAACATTACAACAATACGTCATATTTTAAGTATTTGTAGCGTGCTGACCTGGTTCGAATCCTACCAGTGCAAAATCATTGTAAGATTGTTTATTGCGTGTGATGCGCTGTTTGCTGGCGCTTTGAAAATCCATCAAAAGTGAATTTAAGCTGTGCGGTGTGTACATGGGTTTGCGCAAAATATTCTTAGTGAGACAAGTAGGACGATTAGGGTGCAAACAAGTATCAAAGATCAAAAATTATGCAGTTAACATGAGAAATGAAATTAAAAAGAGCATAAAGTACGGAAAAATCAAGAAATATGATTGCAAGCTCACCTGTGAAAGGTGTGCTCATCAATCCCACGACACCGAAACAGAAGGATGTCGCAGGCTGAGTCTTCGTAATGTTGACCGAACCCTTCAAGTCAACCATTATTGTGATGTATAAGCTGAAAGTAAAACCTTGTGAAAGGTCAAATTTCAATTTATTCGTTGTTGAAATTTTTTAGATGAATGACTGCAAACGTTTTAATGAAATAAAAAAGATTTGATTCCATGAAAGGAAGCAATTCTGAACAAAGCATGCATGGGTAGAACAGCAGCACGAACCTGTGAAAAAGCCGGTCAATGCACCGTGCAGAAGGATGAGCAAGAAGTCGTTGAAGAGGAAGGTTGCCATGTGGCACAAACCAACCGCAACAACCGCGGTGGAGTAGAGGGTGATCCTGCTCGTCCTGTTCATGAAGTTCGACACAACCCCACATATCTGTGCGATATAATTTATGAAAAACGATTGCATGGACGTGTTGACATGATTAATTGATGAAATTATTAACAAAAGAAATATTTTTTTAATTACAAAACATTCTTTGCTTGTTTGCAATCTTACATTTTTTGTTTCAAACGCATTTTTCAGTAAAAACAAGAATTTGTTTTTTTGTTATTCTTCTCGTTAACAACAAACCGGAGTATCATGTTCGATAACAAAATCATTCCAATGAACGAACAAACAAACAAACCACTTTAGTAGTTGCAGAAGCGACATCGAAACTGATTGGAACGTAGGCGACCCTCTGCCTCTGCACTCCCAGCAGGATGGCCCTCCTCGGGTTGTGGTGGATGTGGGACTGGGCGCCTGTGTACATGAAACAACAGCTCAACAGGAAGCATACAACCTGAGGATCAGACAGAATTTCCCGAAAACTTTCTTTTCGAAATTCATTCGCAACTGAAGTGTTCTGTGTAAAATTGGAAATTATGTAAGCTGCTGTAATGCAACGTACGTTGTAGTGCACAAGTATGAAACATTAATTGCACCTTGTTAAATATTGAGTGCTCGCAGTGATTTTCTGGACGATGCAGTGGCTTGAGTGGCAGCGGTTTGAACGCAAACGCAGCAGCCACCGTCATTTGCAACGTGAATCCTGCAACTAGAACAATCACTCCTCTCCATGTATACAACTGAAATAAATATCTAAAAATGATAAATTATTCAAAACATAAGTCATGACAAATATCTTTGAAATACATCCTAGCGAAGTAAAACGTTTGAACTGCAATCATCAGCAATGAAAATATTATCAGCTCCAACCTTGAAAGAGGTCCGATAAAAATAGCTCCTACAGAATATCCAACGCTCACAATCCCGCCAGCTAGCGCCCTATTTTTTTCAAAATATCTCATTGAATTTATGTTGCACGTGGTCACCATCAAACCGAGTCCTGTCCCTTCGTTTTCATTTGGTTTTTTATTTTCAGAACGATATGATGAATTAGCCATTTCAATCTTATTTTCATTGTTTTCATTCGAATACTTTTAACTCACCCACCAGATAACAATCCATAGGTAAAATAAAGAATGGTTACACGTGTGGCGAAAAACGAAAGAAACATTCCAAGTGCGCAAACGATTGATCCGAAGATGCAGACCACTCTGCAGCCGTATCGATCCACGGCCAGTCCTGCCGGGATGCCTGGAAATGATTGCATGCATGTTTATATCATTATATGTCTGTGTGATATTGTATCTATTTGTTGGTTCATTTCAATGATGGACCGACCTATGAGATTTGCAGAGCCAGCATAGATGGAACCCACCCAGCCAACCACTGTTGATGTTGTCTCAAACTCCTCAATCAAATCTTGGTAGATTAGTGAGAAGAGGACGTAGGAACTCCCCATCAGGGTCGTGCCAAGCATGCAGACTGCCAACACCAACCAACTCCATGACGAATCTACTAGTGTCGTGGTTGTTGTTGTTGTTGACGTTGGTGCGGATGTTGTTGTTCTGGATGTTATTGTTGATGTGTTAATTTTTTCAAAAGAACTTATGACAGAGTTTTTGTTAACATCGTTGATAAAAATAACATCCATTTTGTTACGAACAATAATTTGTTTTTTTATTGGCCTAATTTGGGAGGAAATTTATTGTTGTTAATTTTTTAAGGTTATTTAATATTTTATCTACCATGAAACGTTTCATGCTTGATAAACATCGTCTCTTATTTTTGTGTACTTATAAGTCAGCCAGCAATAGTTTCAGCTAAACTTTTTAATAATATCATTGACAAACTGAATGTGTGTTCACGAAGATTCGTAACTTAAAACGTCTTGAATCGCTAACCTACCAGCCAGCCAGCCAGACAGCCAGCCAGCCAAGCAAGCAAGCAATCATCAAACGTCGCTCATTGACGTGAAGTCGTAAAACAAAGCAGGGAGGCCTGCTCAACTCTGCAGATGCGCAGGTCATAAAAACGTCCCATCACTATTCATACAACCTGTTGCGCTCATTTATTACAATCTCGTTCTGATTGATGTTTGTAATGAAAAATTGTTATTTATTATGAAATTCAAATGATTAGTTTAGAAAAAAATCCGAAAACGAATCAATTTGATGTTCTTTATTACTTAAAACTTAATAGAATAATTTTTTAATCCAATCTCCCCTTCAACGTTCGAATTTCTTTTTTCTGCGTTTCATAAAAGTTGTTCTGCAAACTTCGCCTAAATAAAATATTGTAAATTTTGTTCGTGTTTTCAGTGCATCTCAACAGAACCTGGTAACATTTGAAACTATCAGACCATCGCCCAATTTTTTTATTCCATTTAATATCCAAAACAACTTTCAAAACACCTCATCTCTTTCTATAACTACTCTTGAAGTAATATTTTAGCATGGGTCAATGCTCTATACAATTATCATTGAGAATATATTAATAAAATTCAAAACACCGATGTTGCTTTTACTGAATTTATTAGGGTCTTATCTGAACTTTATATTTATAGATTTATATTGCCAATCAACACACAAACAATGCTAAAATTTTAATAAGATTCAACCATGGCTGAATAGAGCGCTCTAAAATTTGATGACAAAGAAAAATACACTTTATGAAAAATAGCAGAAAAACAGAACTATTCCTGGTTATAATAATTATAAAAAAATTTTAAATATTTCCAATAATAAAATTAAACTTGCTGAAAAATTTCATTATAAAAATTCCTTTAAAGAATCAAGAGGCAATCCAAAATCTACCTGGAATGTAATCAATAACATAATAAACCTAAATAAGTAAATTGAAAATTCTCCTATAATCATAGATATTAATTTAATAACGGATACATTAACCATAGCTAATCACTTTAACAGGCACTTCACAAAATTATTTGCTGACTCATCAATTGCTGATTCCAGTTTCAAAAAATACATTAAATTTTCTAATCCCCACTCATTACTTTTTGAACCCGTAACTTTTTTCTGAAGTTTATCAACAATGCAAATCGTTATCAAATTCAAATAGCAAGTTTTATCACAATCTGTCAAATAATATATTGAAAGCAGCAATTCTTCCTAATTGAAATTTTACAATTTTTTTAATAAAATGGTAAACCAAGTCATCAAACAGAGCAAAGCAAATGCTTGGTCGAATAAAAAGATCTTTTTGGAAATTTGATTATAAGTTGCTTCGTGATTATACTTGATTTTAAGCTCCACTAACAAGACGACAATCCAAAACTCTATATTATAAACAGATGCATTAAAACTTTATTTGCAATTGATAATTTTAATCATGAGTTAAATGTGAACATTTTTTACATCATAACTTAATAAATATTTTCTAGCTGAACAATTATAGAACATGTATCCTAATTTTTAAAATGTTTAGTAAAGAATTTAAAATACACCCAGAAATAGTTTGATACAGATAAACCAAGCGCGTCTCTCAGGTTAAACAAAGAAAAATGCTAAAAAGTCAGCTAAGTTTGAATTTGATCAGTAGCAAACAATTCTTCTTTTGTGCTTCACCAATTTGGAACAGTCTTCTGAATTATTTGAAGGAAATAGATAATTATTTTGAGTTCATTAAACTGTTGAAAACTTATCTTATTTGTCGCTCATGTTTAATAGCTAATTAATTTGTGTATTTTAGTTATGATTGATTTCTCATTTTTATGTTTACTGCTTGGAGAAATAAATTAATACCCAAATTATTTTATGTTCCTTGCTTAATTATTTTGATTTGTGTTTTACCATTTAGGACCAATTGAAAATAGCATAAACATTTAAAATTTACTGATAGTATATTTATTACAAAGAGAACAAAAAGTTTATTGTTGCTGAGGCATGAACGAAACAAAAACATCACACATCATTGTTAGGATGAGCAGCAATAATGAAGTTGAAGTAAATTTCAAATCGCCTTCATCTGAAAAGATGCTTGAAGACTTCCTGTCCTGACTAGAAGAAAAAGACATAAAGCAGGTAATTAAGTAAAGAGTTGGTTTGGTACCGCACATAGATTGGTGCACTAAAATGCTCATTCAAAATTTCAAACTTTCAAGGCAAATAATGAGATGATTTTTAAAAACCTAAACGTAGCATTCAAAAACAAATGAACCGGCTATAACAAAAGCAGTTGCAACGACATTGAGTAAAATCAAAACTGCAATTCCAATGAAACTAAATAAATCGAGTGTATTTATCGTCTAAATGACAACCACTATCAGTTGAGAAACTAACATTTCCATTAAACATTAACCTGGAACAGTATGAGAATCTCAAAAAATCCATTCAGTGTTTGATGATCCTGTTGAAATGATCAAATCTGCAGTTTAATTAAACAAGCTGGATCGGGCTATATCCTCTAACTTAGTAAAAAAAATTATCAGTTTAACAAAGGCACAAATTTCGATTTGATCAAAAATGAAAGTCTGTCAAATTGAAAATTGGCATCGGGAATGAAAAGGCACTGCGATCATCAAACCATTGAAAAATTTGGAGTGGTTGCAACCTCAATGAACTACGAAAGTGTTGTGTAATAAAAGTAAATATAAATTGTAACAAGATAAAAATAATTATATCACCATTTTTATTTCCATTGTTTTTAAATTCAATTGTGCCCACACGAAGCTGGAATAATAATTTAAAAACTAAAGAAACGGAAAACGAGCTGCCATTAATTCAAAAACAATTTCTTATAAATTTCTAATAAATGATTTCTATTTAAAAAATGCTGATGTCTGTCGAAAAATAATGCTAGAACTTGTCTATGTGATGAACTTGAAATAATTTACACTTACGACCTTCGACGTCAAAAAACACTTTTTACAAAGTAAGAAATGTTTCCGTTGTAAAAATATTTTATTGTAACTTCATCCGGGTTGAAAACTATGAAATAATAATAACATAATGATAAAATAACACAAGTTAAAATATAATTTGAAAAACGAAGTGAACACTTGAAAACAACATAAAATGTGACTTCTGAAGATTTCAATTAAATTTTAAACGTTTTTTGAATTTTAATTTTTGAAACAATCAACTTTATTAAATATAAAAAAAATAACACAATAGATGGATTATGCATCGGGTAGTTGTATTCTACAACAGTTTTTCGTTTAATAATGAATAATAAGGAGGTAGGTTTTCAATAATTACAAGGAAAACCACAAACGATTAACTATCACTACTGCTGCTACTACAACTACTAGTGGTAATAATAACAACAATACTATAGATAACAGTTATGACCGCCTTGAAATGATGGGCGGGGGACCAATTTTGAAAACGTTTAAATTTGGGAAATTTTGTAAAATCTTTTTGAAATTTTAACTGGGGCTAAGATTTATGGTAGTGTAATAAAAATTATTTTTGCGACTTTTTTTGCTAATCGCGTCAATTTTTTCGATTTTCTACATAAAACAGTGTTTTTTTCTGTGCAAAAATGAGTTTTGCCGACTTTTTATAACAATACTGCTAACTACGGGGAGAGCCATGAACTCTCAGCATCCCTCTCTAGATCAAGTTTACAAGTCAGCAATATGATTTCTTCAACTTTCTTGTCCCGAACAACCCATCCATCCAACATGGCCTCACTCGTATATCGATATTAGGCTGTTGTTGGCTGACAAGTTGAGAAGGCGTGAAGTTATAAACTTTATGTAGAATATTATAGATGCCTATCAACTTTTGAATTGACCAGTGGCGGATCTACATACCATTAAGCCAACTAAGCAGCTGCTTGAGGCCCAAGAATCATGGGAGCCAGAAAAAAGTAATAAACTAATAATTTTCAAACTTTGATTTTAAAAATCAATTATTTAATTGGAAATAAAGCAGGCGAAAAATTCAAGTGAAATATATAACCAATAGTTTTTTGTTAAAAATTTCATTAGATTTTTGTACAACTTTCTGGGCGCCTCTGATGCTATGTGTATAGCGCTGCACAAATGCCATTATAAATATTGTATCCTTAATTTAGTGTGACATATTATGTTGGTAAAAGACCATAATTAACGCAGTAAATTATGAAATCTACCCATTTTCTATCGTTGGATAGTTTTTTAATACATTTCTCAATATTTCTAACCAAATTCTTGGCGTCATTATTTCTTTTATTAAAGTTAGAATTATATACAGTTTCCAATTCATTAACGAGTTTATAGGACCTATTTCGATATATATATATATATATATATATATATATATATATATATATATATATATATATATATATATATATATATATAAAATCAATCACAAAATACACAATACACAGAAAGACCAGGTGATCACGAAAGATGAGAATATAGAACCATGATGATATGGAGATATAACTGTGGTATGGATGTTATAGCTGGCCGGTTGACGACGAGCTCAGTTTATCCCCAATTGAAAATAGCGACGATATAACTATTAACTTATCGTATTATTTACAAATCAATGTTAATCAATTAACAAATAATCAACGCTAATTAATTTTACTAATAAAAGTTAATGTTCACAAACTAGCAAATTAACGTTCAGAAAACTATTGCTTTTCGAATAAGAATTCACCAACGTTCCTCGCAAATATAATAAAAATACAACGCAGAGTCGAATATCAAACACCGCACAAACCACGCCATTCAATATCTCGCACGTCTTTATATACCCGTCTCACCGACGTTATAACAATGACATATAAATTAAAACGTTATAACAATGACATATAAATTGAAACGTTATAAGAGTAAACGGTTAAACAATTGAACAAATGCTAGCATTTCTATTTTTCATGTACAGGTTATTAATAAATATTTCACAATCAATAACAGTGAAATTCAGAAATTAATTATTGCAACAAATAAGTTTGATTGATTTAAATGAATCTGACTAAACCTCGGAATAAAATACAAATTACCCATCAACTAATAATACGAATGTAGGTGGTTTGCATAACGTTGCATACATGCAGACGATGATCATGATAACAATAGCTTGTAATCAAAGCTTTCAAGTCACCAATAGGATTGCAAATTTTTTAACATTAAGACAACGCATAGAGGCAGCGTTGAACATAAATAGCGCAAATTGTATCGCAGTTAATAAGAATAAAGCGTAAAAACAAGCGCAACGATTGTTAAATATATATAACTAATATTTAAGGAAGATGGAACACTGTGGCTTAATTTTATGGGATATATCAAATGCCTATCCTTTAAAATATCTGTGAATAACTTATATATACTTAACAAGGGAAATAATAGTGACGGAAAAAAACAAATAGAGAGACAGAGAGAGAGAGAGAGAGAGAGAGAGAGAGAGAGAGAGAGAAAGAGAGAGAGAGGAGAGAGAAAGAGACAAAAAAACAGAGAAACAGAGAGGCAGAGAAAAATATGGAAAAAGAAATAAAAGAGAAATGAAAGGTTAAGAAATTAGGGGCTGGTGAGAAAAACAGATTGTGAGGGCTTGGGCTGTTCAACATCATCTGGAAAAGGATTGTTGATGTCTGGTGAACATCATCTGGAAGAGGATTGGTGATGTCTGGTGAACATCATCTGGAAGGGGGTTGGTGATTGGTGATGTCTGGTGAACATCATCTCGAAGAGGATTGGTGATTGGTGATGTCTGGTGAACATCATCTGGAAGAGGATTGGTGATGTCTGGTGAACATCATCTGGAAGGGGGTTGGTGATGTCTGGTGAACATCATCTGGAAGAGGATTGGTGATGTCTGGTGAACATCATCTGGGTGAAGATTGGTGATGTCTGGTGAACACCATCTGGGAGAAGATTGGTGATGTCTGTGAAGATCATCTGGGAGAAGATTGGTGATGTCTGGTGAACATCATCTGAAAGGGGATTGGTGATGTGATGTGATATTCTGCTTCTTCCTGATGACCAGGGCGCAGGCACACAAGATGAAACCAACGGCGTACGTTACTCCTGACACGTAAAATGTCAGGTCGTAGTTGCCCGTTACATCGAACAAGAAACCTGTTGGAAAAATCATTTATTTATTTATTTATTTATTATTACAAGCCTGTTAAGTTAAAACCATTCATTTATTATTACCATTTACAGGATAACCAGAAGAACGGTACTGAAAAACTTCAAATAAATATATAAAAGTGAAAACTAAAGAAAAAAATGTTCATTGATCGTTAACATTATACTAATTATGTAAACTGAAATGGGTTGGTGAGCGTTAAGTTCAAATTAAATGAACTTTAAACTGTAGATTGCATTAAAATTGGTAACGCTGCTTTTATTTCATACCAATCATTTGAATGGATTTAAAGCACAATAATATGAAAACAAAACTTTCAACAAAAATTCAAATGTAATGCTTTCTATATAATGAATATCGCAATGATGGCACTCAACACATTGACAGCTGACTGCATGGCAAAAATTTAGATGAGCCTTATGAAACAAAGTAAACTGCAAATGAAAACGTTGGTTGTATAGCTCAAAGAAAACCTAAAATGCAATTTTAAACCACACCGAGTGATCAAGTTGCTAAAAGGTTTATTTAAAACTCTGCATTTTTATAACTACAAAATTGTGATAGAATTGGTAGATCGTGAAATGAAAACAATAAATTTTATTTGTGTTAGAACAGCTTGGTTAGATATTATAATTTCAGTTGTGTTCCTTACAAAATTTTACAAATCTATCTTAATTTCTTTAGTTTATTTTTCAGACCATACGAAACAAATCATCTTAATTACCTGCTGTGTTTTCGAAAATTAGAAGGCAGTTAAAAAACGTTAAGAGTATGTTACCTAATAGTTGGTGATTATATAGCTTGCATTGATTGATTGACTCTAGCCATCCCCATTTCACAAGACTGGATTATGATAAGAATTAAGAATAACAATTTAAATAGAAATATGAAATTAGCATTTTATAGACAAAAATTTGGAATGATTCTAACACAATTGGTTTAATTTTGTTCATCGCTCTCTTAATTTATTAATAAATTTATCAATAATAACAAATTGATAATCCATTTTTTTTTCTTTTGTACATTATGTTTTGCAGATTATTTGCCAAAAAAATAGGCGCTGTATAAATAACTGTATCCATTCACAATAACAAGAGCTGAAAAAAGAAAATCTTCAAAAATCCACGCCACGCCGAGTATCTGTATCTTCGATTGGAACAACAAGGTACCAAAGAAGCTGATGAACAATTTCTTTATTGACAAAAAAATAATTTGTGGCAGCAACAAATTCCTGTTATCGAAATTATTTGTTTCATCAAAAATTACGAAGAAGAAAATGAAAATCTATTTCTGTGCAGAATACAACACCAGCCAGTGCAAGTTCATGAAATGAATTTAAAATTTAAAGTACATCCGATGGCATATTTCGATCCTGTGAAACATTTGACTGAAACACAGCCGAGATAATGCTCGTCAAATGATATAATATGTGTATAGGTAGTTTGTATAACATTGCATACGTGTGGAGTCAGCTCAATTATAAACTTTGTATTAGTCATCACATTCCTCTGTTTTAATACTCATATTTCAGTTTCATATTCCTCTGTTTTAATACTCATATTTCAATACTCATATTTGTTACTTCGTTTGAGTAACATAGAAAATGTCATTAAGTAATGTCAGGTGCAATAACATTTAAACTGGTTGATTGATTGAATGATTGAGTGATCGATCAAATGATTGATTGACTAAATAATTGATTGATTGATTGATTGATTGATTAATTGATTGATTAAAAGGTTGGTTGAATAACCAGTAGATTGAGTTAACCTGAAAACGGAGTTGAAATAGTTGATGCGATGCCAACGAAGAGAGCAAGGAGTCCCTGAGACTTGGCCACGTGTTCGACTCCTACCAGATCAACCACCACCGTCGACATGACACTCAGATAGCAGCCTGCCGGTCAATCAGCAAGCCATTCAATCAGCCCATTGATTAAACTTCCTATTGATTTACACAGCCAAATAAATGAAGTTGAGAATTTAAATGGAGGCTAGAAAAAAAAAGAAAGCTAGAGAAACCTAGAAAGAAACTTTCGATGACAGCCTGAATGATGATGTCTGTATAGGTGGTGCAGAGAGGAATCAAAAGCTGACATATTCCCGTCAGTAATAAGGCAATCTGAGGGTGGCGGTGATGGTGATGGAGATGGTGTGGTTATGATGACAATGCGGTGACTATGATGATGTGGTGATGACGATGATGATGATGTAATCATGGTGGTGATGAGGTGATGAAGATGGTGGGGTGATGAAATTTAATATAAAACAACGATTACGACATTGGTGACGTCGAAGTGGAGATGGAGTTATTGGCGATGACTGACAGTAATAATGCCAAGATGATAAACCGTTAGGTGGACATGATTGAGCCAAGGGTCGGATATTATACAAAATTTGAGGTAATGAATTTTACGAAATGCAAAGAAGGATGTGATGATGACGACGATGATGATGCACTAGAGATACAGGTGTTACGAAAACAGAGACAGTTATATATACACATACAAGAAAGTCACAGGTGGTAAGGTAGAAAAAACAATCCCAACAAACTGATAAATACTAACGAAAAATAACGCGAAAGCAATCATGGATATCAATCATTGTTTGTTTGCTTGGCTTTCGTCAATTTGAAATAAAATGAACCTCCAACAATTATCGATGCTACAGCAAAACTCAAACAAAAATAAGACAATTGAAAGGAGCGCAATGAGAAAAACAGGACCAACCGCACACAATCTCAAATCATACTTGCGACGCATTAACATATTATCACAACTTTTACAAATTGTAACACACACTCGCGTACGCACACACACACAAACACAAACAAAAAAAAACCTGCACAAACAAACACCTACAAAAAAGACAGAGAGAAAATATTCACACAATCAATAAAGTATACAAACATACCAACATACATACAAACAAATACTTAAACATACAAACATACAAAAAAGCATGTAAACACTCATACATACATACAAACAGACAAACATACATACAATCGTACATACCAATAACATATAGAAAATCTTGCAAACATGCCAAAAGCACTACCGTATAGAGCGTGAGATTATCCCACTTCAAGACATTAGCAATGAGTCCGCAAATAATTTTCGAGCCACCGTGAGTGAGTGCAGTGTAGACGGGCCACATCGCCACCAAGTGAGGTTTGATGCCGAAGCCCAGGGCTCTCTTGGGACTGTGTTGTAGGAAGGTGGTCATGCCGACGTGGGTGAAGAGGTTGGAGAGGATGTAGAGGGTGAGGGGAGGAAAAAGGAAGAGGCGTGTGAAGAGCTGAAGGGTAGTGAGGTTGGGTGGAATGACAGGTGTGCGAGACTTTCGACGCCAGGTGGGGTTCGTAGTTGTCGATGCTGGTTGAAACTTCTGCAATGTTGTTGTCGTCAGTGGCTGAAGTTTTTCGTACTCTCCACCTTTTTGCGCTCCGTCGCTTGTTATTGCACTCTTATTGTGGGAGGTAGTATTTTCGATTGATGCGGTGCCAATTTTCAAAGGGCCACCATTTTTTGTGCTGCCACCAATGTTTTTGATGGTCTCGTTGTTGCTGCTGAGGTCATCATTGTTGTGTTGGACACCATCAGAGGCGTCTTCAGGAGTTGGTGACGTCGGTGATGATTTTGGGTTGTCTGTAGGTTTGCTGACGATGATGACGTCATAATCCTCGTTCATGTCACCTGCGTTGTGCTCATTCTCATTTTCGTCAGAACAAGGTAGAACATCTAACGACGATGATGATGATGGGGAGGATGAAGATCTATAACGATGATGACGAAGAAGATGATGAAGAAGTTATAATGACGATGATGATGACGCCAATAAAGTTATGTTGATGATAATGATGAAGCTATAGTTATAATGATGACAATTATTATGATGATGACGACAAAGAGGATGATGAAGATAGAGGTGAACATGACAAAGATAACAGATTACAACTCTACATATAATAATAATAATAATAATAATAATAATAATAATAATAATAATAATAATAATAATAATAATAATGAGAACAATCTTTTATTCAGCCATAAAAACGATGACAATAAAATAAAACAAAATGATAAGTAGAATAAAATAAAAATAAAATAAAATGTCAAGTAGATTATTAATTTATTCTACGAAGCTCTTCAGAATACAACCGGAGTTAACTAGTTTCAAAATAGATCCAAGTCACATTTCAATCGCAGTAAATAGCGTACGACGACGATGTTGCAGATCTAACGAGGCCATAACAACAACAATAATAATAAATAAATATAAAGACAATGTGGAAATAACAATTTAAAAAAAAAATCAGCTGGTTGTTGAGGATAATAGAACTCAAATGAAATGAATAATATAAATAAAATATTTCTTTAACACAGTAAATGGCATATGTCGATTTAATCACGGAGTTAATTAATCTGTCAGTAAATAAAACAGGCTGAGAAACTTTAAATAATGATAAACTAAATTTATTTACTAAACCAAACAAATAATGATAATAGTAATAATAATGATAATAATAACATTAATATTACTTTTATTATTAATAATAAATAACTGCCACCATAAATATAGAAATAAAAATCTAGGCAACATATGTTATTGAACAAAATAAAAAATAAAACTTCATGTATTATTTGATAATTTCAATATTTTCAAAGGTTGCATAATACAAATATCCTCACAGATGCATGTTTAATGCCGCCTGTGAATCATTTCTTGGTAAATAATTAGGTGATATAAACATGCCAGCATAGACATGCACAAACATGCATACATACACATATGGGACACATCGTTGGTTTCGACAAAATTGATTCATCGGTGAGACCTTTCGTAAGATATAGACCTATCCTCGATAAACATCTGCGACCACAGACCCAGCAGACCCACACTTCCGTACCGCAACCATCCTGGAACCAATTGCTTTCGCTGCTTCCTTTTGTCAATAAGAACTGTGATGCGTGCCCGGAGTTTCTCGCATTGCTTTAGTTAGACGAGCGAGACGCAGGTCTCATTGCCTGATATTTATGTGGTCGATGAGATGTCATTGTCCTGAACATGGATGTTTCCAACTGGTCTTCCTTCTGCCAGCCTGTTGAAAGACCGTATTAGTTACCGCCAGATTGTGTTCTGTAGAGAACTCCAGAAGCATGGTTCCATTTGAATTTTTCCTACCAACTCCATTGCGTGCGAGCACTCTGTCCCACAAAATATGGTCAGTTCCCATGCGGGCGTTGAAGTCACCTAGGACGAACAGTTGATGCTTGTATGGTGTTGTGCGAACAGCATCCCTAAGCTGTTCATAAAACAAGTTCCTTTCTTCGTTAGTTCTTCCAAGTGTTGGTGCGAAGCAACTGATCTAGGTAGCAATCTGTCCACCTTCCAGGCTGAGTTGCATCTTCAATAGGCGCGGTGAAATACCCCAAGGTACCTCACGTGCAGACTTTAGGAGTGAGTTACAATGGCAAACCCCACTCCACCCATTCGCGCCTGAGCTGTGAATGACCCTGACAATGCATACACTTACATACACACATATACATACAAACAAACAAACAAACATACATATATAAGCACTTAATTTAAGACATTTTGTTTCTGTGACCAAATAATGAAAGCTTTAAAATTAAGTGATTTATCAAGCCCTAAAAATTCCTATTACACCAGCGCGTTGTAAAATAATTAGAAGCAAACAAAAGATTATAAAACAGCGCTGCCAACTGTAGATATGAAAATAATATATTGTACGAAATCAAGTACCACTTATTCTAGAGTAAAGAACGTTTTGAAATGATTTCTAAGCTGTAACACAATTCAGATCATTCATTGACTTTTAAACCTCAATCATCTTGTGAATTGTACAAATAAGTTTGATAAGAAAAACATTCAATTATAAAAAAAAGTAAATAAATTCGACATGGAGAATCAAATGAAAAGAAAAAAATTGCCTGGATTGATAGTGGTGCTGTTTGTAAGGCTCCTCCTACACCGGCGGTGAAAGTTCTGATTGGCTGGGTCGGGTATGAAAGGTCTGAATGCGAAAGCGCTGATGACCGCCATCTGGAGGGCAAGTCCCGCAAAAATGACCAGGCCGTACTGCCAGGGGTAGAAGTGGTTCACGAATCTGAAATTTGGTTGCAATCCAGTGATGCAATGTGGTACAATTGTCATGTCATGTCATGGCAACTATAATTTAAAGTCATGTCATGGTGAATGTTATGTGATGTGATGTTGCGGTGAATTTGATGTTAAGTGTAATGGTGGTGTTAGACAAATAAACACAAAAAAAGCGTAGCAGAAGCAGACCTCATGAGCAGGCCAGCGGCGACAGACCCCATGGAGAAACCACCTGCCACCAGGCCACCTGCGATTGTCCTCTTCTTCGTGAAGTACTGCTGGGATGCTACGATGCACGATATGACGATCATGCCTGTGCTCGTGCCTGCAACCATTTTTATATTTTTATTGAATAAATTAGCCAACAACCATTTCATCCATTGAAATAATTCAAAGTTAAGTTTGGGCTGCATTTGTAAAATTCATTTTACAAAAAAATTAAAATTTGAAAGGTTTTATTAAATTTAATATTTTTTTCTGTAAAATAATATGTAATTCAAAAAAGCAATGTTTTTGAAGCCATTAAGGTAGAGAAAGTCACATCATTTCAGTATCTAGGGGATGTTCTGGATTGTACTGGAACAGCTGAAGCTGCCGTTCGAGCACGCATACGTGCAGCCTGGAATAAATGGCATCTCCTTGCCTCTATATTGATGCGACGTGACATCCCACTACCACTACGGTCAAGACTTTATAAATCTGTGATACGTCCGGTGTTGTTATATGGTGCAGAAACATGGCCAATGACAACCGAACTGGAACAACAACTTCAACGAATCGACATGAAAATGCTTCGATGGATGCAACAAATTAGTCTGAAGGACCACATCAAATCAACCGAAATCCTGCGTCATGCTGGTTTAGATGATATAAAGAACGAATGCCGGCAACACCATCTGCGGTGGTTTGGTCATGTCAAACGAAGTGGAAACAGTGCCATAACTTCTCTTGCAGATGTTGAAGTACCTGGCACACGTCCCAAAGGCCGTCCAAAGAAGTCCTGATCGCCATCAATCGAGCAAGACATGAAAGCTCTAAATTTAAATGAAATGGATACAAGTGATCGTCTAATTTGGCAAAAAAAATGATGGCAAAGAAAACAACGTCCTACCTCGGGAGAACTAGGTATCTGGACGCTAAATGAATATTGATTGAAAATAATATGTATTTGTTGCAATAATGAAATAATTTTAAAAAATGTTTGATCCAAAAATCAACTTTGACGGAGAACCAATTACAAATTATAAATAAAAACATAATGATTCCGTGTTGACTTTAACTTTCAGAAGATGTAAACTCACTCAATCATCTGTTTAATTTCATTATATAACAGTACTCAAATTTTATTACATCTCCAGTCTTATACAACTTCAAATTACAGAGTAGCGAATCTAGTAAAAAAAAATTGTGGCTCATTTATGAACACCCAGCCATGGACGTCTCGATAGCTATATATCTGGACTGCAAGGTGAACGTTTCACGGTTTTCAACTCTGACCATATTAGGCTATTGCATTTATAATATATTACATAAATATTAGATACATATTATATAGTTTATAGGTTGATATTAAATTACTGGAATTCATAGATGCAAGTAGACTAACTAGCAGCATGTTAAATTTCTTTGTTAATCTTTTTTTACTTCCTTTAATTTTCTTTATTCGTTCCGATCGTGCATGCCTATATATTCTTGTTGATTGTTGCTATTTTCCAATGTTTTAATTTTATTTTGGTGATAAAATCGTGTAAAATAGGTATTATAACAAACTTAAATCATTTTTTAATTATTTTAAAAATTTCCGTAACATCTTAAATTTGGAGCAATATAATTTTTACTTTTGGTAAAAGTGCAATTTCGATTATTATTACTTCACAGTCGGTTAGTTAGTTAGGAGTTATTTAGAGAACATTTATTTTAGATTTAATTTTTATATATATTGGTTTATTTTCTTAAATTAAATTTACACAAAACTATTTCTGGATTAAAAAGTTGAAGATGAATGAATTTATTAAACAACAATTTATTTATTGATCTGTACCCGCACTTCTAATATTGGTTATTAATTGATTTATGTTTTTTTGCATAAATAAATAACATTTTAATTTTTAAGGTATTAAGAATAAGATAAGTAAAGTAAATTTTGCTTAAAACTTTTAATTACTAAAATTAATATGTATATTTAAGGAATATTTTATTAGTCTATTTCTCCTTTGACGTCCATTTTATTATCACAAAAAAAATGAGGTTGAGCATTTTTATGAATGAATGAAAATGATGCTCTACCTGTAAACCTGTTTAAGTTTAAATGCAGTAGTGGACTTGCCGCTATCTTTTTTCTTTTGGATTTCTAGTTTTAACATCATAACCAGGGCGACTTGAGAATATAATATATTAAATTTTACATTTATTCAAGATTTATATTAAATATGATTTTAAACTAACATTACAATTACAGTAAACTACTACCTAAAATGGTGAACAAGTGTGCTGCCTATAGTTGCAAAAGTGGATACAAATCAAATGCTGCGATAGATGCTGAAAACAAAGTGTCTTTTCATTCCTACCCAGTCAATGATCCTGAACTTTGTGCAAAGTGGAATAAGGCAAATCCACGAAGGGATTTTATTCCAAGCAGACATTCAAAGATGTGCTCTTTGCATTTTCGACCTTCGGATTTTGTTGATAAATATTTTGATACAAATTCAACAAGATATAAAAACAAAACAAGCAATAGTGAGTCCAGAATCAAGCGAGAATTAAAGCCTGGAACAATTCCAACAATATTTAATGCACCATCATACGCATCAACAATCGAGCATCTACCGAGACCTACAACAAATTCATCTGCTGCGTGTCGTCGAGAAGGTGAAATAAAAAGAATGAATGAACTTGAAAATGAATTCAACAAAAGTGATCAGATAATAAATTTGAGTTTAGAAGAAAATCTAGATCGTTTAAAAAAGGAAACATCTGCTCCAAGTGGATACCATTATCAAATCTTCGAAAACAGTTTGGTATTGTATGAAATACATTTTGACAACTGTTGCCCTCATATCAAATCATCTATCACCATAGATGAACAAAAAAATATATCCCTGTTTAACAAAGGTCGAGAAGTTTCAAAATCATTTGTTGAAGGCATCATCAACAAAAAAGTTGACACCATGAATCAGCTATTGAATGCGATGGCTAGACTTAAAAATTTGCAAACTGATCATGCGAAAGTAACTTTTGATGAAGCCAAAGCTGCAGCTAAACAACAATTAAAATGTTGCTTGGATTCTGTTGATGACGAAGTTTCTAAATCACAATTACAATTTTTAATTGACCAACTAAAACTGATTGGTGTTAACAAATTTGGAAGAATTTACACTCCAAAACAAATTATATGGTGCTATTTATTATATGCTGCTAGTCATGCAGCTTATGTTAAGTTGTATGAATTGAATATTATGTGCCTACCATCAGTAAACACATTGAACAAATTAACGAAGAAAGTAAAAGTAAATAGCGGCTTAAATAATGACGGGTACCTGCATTTGAGGCTGAATTCGTTGAATCAATTGGAGAGGACGTGTGTGTTGATAATTGATGAAATTTATGTTGCAAAACGAGTTGAATATTGTGGTGGACAAATGTTAGGTTTAACAACTGAAGGGGAAGTTGCAAGTACTATTCTTTGTTTCATGATCAAATCCCTGTGTCATAAATATCAGGATATGATCGCCATGTATCCTGTCAATAAACTAACTTCTTCATACATGTTTCAATGCTACCAAGAAGTTATGAATGTTTTAAAGAAGCAATATGTCACCATCATTGGAATTTCACTAGATAATGCTGCTGTAAACAGGAAGTTTTTCTCAAGTCATTTATGCTCTGGAGAACTAAAAGCCCATATCTCAAATCCTATTGACAACCAGCCATTATTTCTGTTTTTTGATTCAGTTCACAATTTGAAAAATATTTACAACAACTTTTTAAACAGAAAAACTTTTGATTTGCCATCTTTCAATAGAAACTTTATTAAACTATCTGATGGTACTGCACGGTTTTCAGATATAGAAGATTTGTACAAACATGAGTTAAATATGCTAGTGAAGAAAGCTCACAAGTTGAATGCTACAATATTTAATCCAACAAATATTGAGAGGGTTTCTGTCAAGTTGGCTGCTTCAATATTTTGTCAATCAACATGTGATGCTTTTGACTATTATATAAATCATGAAGGCAGATATGAATGGAAGACGACAGGTGAATTTGTTAAGTTGGTCAAGAAACTTTGGGATATAATGAATGTTAAAACGTCATCCAAAGGCAAGGCGAAAATCAACAGTGATATGGATCCTGTGAAGTCTTCCAATGATTGGAAAATTCACTTCCTGTTAGAATTTAAAGATTTTTTGTCAGAATGGGAAATGATGAAAGCAAATAAATTAAGCAGAGAAACATTCATTGCTATGAAACAAACTTGTTCTGCTTATGCTGAATGCAGCAAGTATTTGTTAGATAGCATGGGTTTTAATTATGTCCAGCTTGGATATCTACAGTCGGATCCAATTGAAACTAGGTTTGGGTGGTTGCGGCAGATGTCAGGAGGAAACTATTTTGTTTCTGTAAGACAAATTATTGAAAATGATAAAAAGATCAAAATGGTTTCATTGTTACACCACTCAAAGTTGTCAATCAAAGAAATTGATGATTTCATTGATGATGTGGGCATCGTTGAAGATACTAGTATATTTGAAGCAGCTAATGAAATCGTCCAACAACTTCAATCCACAGCCTCATTTGCCTTCAGCGATCCAGCAGATGGTGAAGCATGCACAATATATTACATGTCAGGAGCAGTCGCTCACAGTGTGCTTCATATTACACGATGTGATGACTGCAAGGAAATATTAGTTGATGATGAATCCATCTGTGAAGATGTCCACCATTTAAAAGAGCAAGTATTTTTCAATGATGTAAACAGGGGAGCGCTAATAAAACCATCGGAATACCTATTCATGACTGTTGGAAGATATTTGCAGGAATGAAACAGTCTGAGGCCATCATGAAAAATTTTCTCACTTCATCCAACCAGAAGAGTCTTTTTTGCAAAATTGTTGATATGCTTGTCATTGAGGATGCTATTATCATTGATAATAATTACTGTGTTAAAAGTCATGATGTAAAACGTATGATTGCTGAACGGTTTTTTAATTGCTTGACAAAAAACTTTGTTAAAAGTGTAAATGAAAATATTAACGGTTCATCTCTTAGTAAGAAAAGAAAGTTAACTAAATTAAATTGAAATTTGTTTTTAACAGTTTTCTATTTGTTCATTTGTTTCCTAGTTTTATATAAACATGATAGTATTATGTTATATGTACATTTCAATGATATCTTTTAAATAAATGAATAAATTTATATGTATATGTATATATTTTTAATTGTATTTGATGCATAAATAAACAACTATTAAACAACCACGATTTTCGTCTTGTTTTCACATTGCAAACACCTCAATCAATGGCCTAATAAGGTCAACGCGCAAATATCACCTTGGTTTCCAGTAGTACTATCGAGAATTCCATGACCCAGCCATTATTTTAAAAATCTTGAAGAAAGTGATCTTTATTTTTATATCAAGAAAAATTAAAAAATATTTGGAGTAATTGGAGACAAAACGATTGGATGTTGTTTCCTACTATTTCACCTGCAACCACCTGTAACTGCCTGTAACTGCAATAGTAACATATACAACAGTAAACACGAATTATTTAGATAATAACGAGTTTTTGTGATATAACGAAATTTTCCAACTAAACCCGCAATTCATTTGATAGCAACAACACTCTCATAAAAGATTGTTTCACATTTTATAAAGTTAATTTGTTAATTACAATAAAATTGGATTACGAAAGATCGAATCAATTGAAAATTGTCAAGAAGCTTCAAGTATCCTGCTTGATAAACATAACATCATTATCATCAACAACAACAACAACATTAACATCGTCACCATCATCATCATCAACAACATTAAAATCATCTTCATCCACGAAATTTCAATTCCCTAATTTCAGAGTAATCATTTTCAGAGCAAGAAAATATTTGAAAACAAGGCCATCATTAACTGGTTATTTCAACAAAGCAGTCAAGAACTTACGTTGATGTTTTTTCCGCAAATTTTAAGCAAGACTTCAAAATTTATTTAAAGATTTTTAAACATTCAATGAAACATGAAACACGTTCAGTACATGTTATATCAGGCCAGTGAACGTCAAATAGTGTGATGACTGCTGATAGACTAATACTCTCTTATCAATTAAATACAATGCAACAAATCACAAATTAATTACATACATCAGCTCATACATACAATTCTGTTTTAATAACTTTTATGCATTTGAAATTCTCCAAAAATAATGCCCAAATAAGAGCCAATGAAATATATGAACAGATTGGATAGTTGTTGGATAGTTTATTCAAAAAAAAATTGTAATGACATGACGCGGCTGATTGTTCATAATTCATTCATCAGATATCAGCATGATGGAACCAGCGCTCAAAAAGGATGTTAGTTTAAAATTTTAAAAAGTAATTCGTATGAATGATATTGAAGCAAAAAATATTTTAAAACCAGCAATTGCTCAAAAAGATCTAATAAGTGAAAGAAAGCAGAACAATAAACGAAATACATGTAGGGATCAAACATTCATTTATTAACTATCTTATGTATTAATTATTATTAAAGATTATTGCAATTTTCAATGTTATCTAATCTATGTTAATTTTTATGTCTTTGCTTCTCTCTCGACTTCTTTCACCCTTTTTCCTGATAGCTTGTAAAACGAAACGGTTCGAGATTCACGTGGGAATAAAGATAATATTTTATTACGCCTGAATTGTGTTTGTTTTATTTATTTTAACTCACAACAAGGTGTCTTGTTAGTAGCATAAGTTCGTACTAACATACACTTAACAAAACGAACACTCAACAAAAATCTTCAGCCTACCTTAAAATGAACTTCAGCCATCAAAACTCAGCTTGACATTATTACATGATTTATTATAACGTTGTTGTTCTATTTTATCATTCATCTAAAAATTGTACAAATTATATATATATATATATATATATATATATATATATATTATTGATGAAAATCACAGCATGTTCGGCGTTAGTTAACTTCCAATTTAACTTTTCGATTTTTCTAACGATTGATCGTAAATCATTTTCAAGTTTCTTTAGTTCAAAACTAAAACTTTTGTTTATTTTATGCATGATAGAACAGAAAAACTTTTTTCGGTATTCCCATACCATCTTCGGTGTTCAAATTGATATGTTGTGGTTTTGCCCAGATGCTCAAATATAAATATACTGTGCCTCTATTCTACTTTGCTGATTCCTTGTTAGCTTAAAAAGAATACTTAGTTTTACAATCTTCAACATCGTTAAACACTTTTAAGTGTTTTCATTATCGATGATTCCTCTGTTTCTAAATTTAATGGTAGGAAGAATTCCAATTGCCCGTTGTTGAATATTTATCATCGGATGTTTTTGTTCTATGAAGATTGATTCGGCTACTCGGCTAATCGTAAATTATAATGGTTGTTATTGTAATGTAAGTTTTCAACCTTGTGGTCCAGGATTTGTCTAGTAATTTTAGTTTTGTGTTTCTCTTTCATGTGATTCTTTATAGCGCTAGTTCGTCGTCATACCAATATATTCAGAATTATGATTCATTTCACGTACAAACTGGCGCTATAGAGAATCACATAAGAGAGAAACACAACACGTACAAACTGATATGACAGTGAATGCGATGTTGAGAGTTTGAAGACGATAACGGCTATTTTAAACAACACGGGAATGTGAAGTGGGGGCCAATGGAGGTTCATTAGATTGGACAAGGTTGTTGATGCCAGACGATGAGTACCTACCGAAATTTCAACGCTTATTGCACTGATGGCACAATCTAATTTATTTACTATCAGACAAACTCAAGCCAACCAGGCACACGCACACCATACATACATACCAAGAGAGTTTGAAGACGATAACGGCTATTTTAAACAACACGGGAATGTGAAGTGGGGGCCAATGGAGGTTCATTAGATTGGACAAGGTTGTTGATGCCAGACGATGAGTACCTACCGAAATTTCAACGCTTATTGCACTGATGGCACAATCTAATTTATTTACTATCAGACAAACTCAAGCCAACCATGCACACGCACACCATACATACATACCATGTGCTACATCAACATTTGAATGCCAACCTAGAAAGGGTAATGATGACATTCATTCCTCTATTACCTTGAACTTAACATCCATTTACTATTGTATTCAAGTACATTATTATAATAATGGGCATATTTTCACAAAAAAATATCAACAAGCAGAAATGGCGAAAGGACAAACATAAGAATTGAAATGAACTACCTGCAAGAACGCCAAAGGACAGGCACATGTAGACGACGTGAGATGCAAAATAGGATAAGATGTATCCTGTGTGTGTGTGTGTGTGCGTGCGTGAATGAGTGAGTGAGTGAGTGTATATATATATATATAAGTGTGTGTTGTGTCTGTGAGTTTATGTGTGTGTGGTATTTGTGTTTGTTTGTTTTTTGTGTAGGTGTTTGTGTTGTAAACGAGTGTGTATGCATGTATGGCTGTGTTGCGCTTCCTTTGCATGTGTGTATGAATGCACGTGCGTGAATATGAACAAGTTTTTTGTGTGGGTTTCGCTGTATGAGTGTGATGTGGCTCGATGAAAACATCAATGAAATAGCTTGAAGAAAACAAAAAAAGAAACAATTCATTCCTCACAACCCAGTTAATATTAACACTTTACACGTGTATTACATAACTGGTGGTGATGGTAATAATGATATGATTATAAGGACAATAATAGAGATAATAATAAAGACATAATAAGGACATATGGATGAATTTAAATAGATTTCCAAATATGATTTAAATATTTACATTTATTTTTAAAAAAAGCAAGACAAGAATGAATTAATATATTAAATTAATAATTATTTATCAACATTCATCTATTTATTTTTGTTCATTGCTACCAATATTGATAATGGCAATATTATTATTATTATTATTAATTTTTTAATATCATAATCATTATTATTATTATTAATATTAACAACATTATTTTTTATTATTGTTATTATTATTTATATCATTATTATAAATAGAATAATATAAATTAAACAACCGTGAGCATCATAAAAATTAATGAATAAAACGTTCTGCAATTTTAAACAGACAGAACACAAAAAACTGCAGTTTATTTATAGAAGGATAAACAACAAAACAATTGGATCCATGAACCAAGAACAAGATCAACATCACATCAATAAACAACATCAATAACATATTTAACAAAATCAACAACAACAGTAATAATAATAATAATAATAATAATAATAATAACAAATAATCTTAATATTATTATTAGCTTTACTATTTATTATAATTATTAAGTAACCAACCAAGTGATGTGAGGATGGATCCAAGCATACAAACAAATCGACATCCGAACTTCTCAATCAGTCGACTAAGGAACACAGCTGAAATTTATAAACAAAAATGTAATTTTATCATATTGAAACTAAACATTGTTATTTGGAAAGTTTCATTAAAGTTAAACCGTTCATAAACATTTCATGAACATCAGATCAATTTGATTGAAATCATTAAATGCTCAAAAGCTACTTGAAACCTGAACAAAATGGAACCAAAAAACTGACCAAATAAGTTGCCGCATCCAACATGCAATGAACCAATCCACCCAGTGACAGATGCACTGGAATTCAGGGCTTGGGCCATATCCTGGTACATCAGAGAGAACAATGTGTACGACATTCCCACAAACAATGTCCCAAAACTGGCTGCCACTGCCACAATCCAACTCCATCCTTCGTCTGTTTTTGTATACTTCACTCGATTTTGAGGCAAGCGTAGAGGCTGTTGATTTGTTGTCGCGGTGGTGGTTGGTGGTGATTGTTGCATCATAGGCATTGAAATAATTTTTCAATCTTTAGGATCTTCCATTGTTGATGACTCTTTGACAAGTTTTGTTTTGTCTCAGTTGAAATTGTTGAACAGGTTAGGATAAGAAGAACATTTGATATTGTACATATATTGTCTGTTGTTCCAAATTTGAATGGATCACTTGACCCTGACGTAACTGAATGAAAGTTGTAAACCAGAAATAATGCACTAACCGAGCATGACAACAAAACGAATATCCATATTAATTGTTGTGATGAGTAATTAACTAAAATAGTCAACAAAGTAATTTCATAAGCTCCCCCTATTGATGATGGTTTATGACTAGACCCAATGGATGAAATTATAAAAAAGATATGGGTTATGTGACTCAATACATTCATTATAAACTGCGTAACAAACACATATATCACCTCAGGACAATTAATTATTAAAAAAAGCAGGTAATATAATAAACAATATGATTATTAACTAATTTTAGACACTAATTGACAATAACTGGCTGATTGGTTCAACGTGAGTAGTAAGCCATTATCATTAATATTATATTAAATTAATATTATATCATTAATTTAATTTATTACTAATACATTATTTAATTATAATATTATGACATGACAAAGTTTTGAAAATTTCTGTAACAATCTATTAATTAAAATAATTATTAAATTAATTATTTAATAATTATTATAAAATAATTTTTAAATTAATTATTTAATAATTAATATTATAATGTTATTATATTTATTATAATGTTAAAAGCTAAATTTATTTTTATAATTAACTAATATAATAAATAAATAATAAAAATAAATGTTGGTTTATTAATGTTAATCTTTAAAAAAATTAAATTAAAATGTAATATTAAATTAATTAAATATTTAATGAATCTTATCTTAGTAATCAATATTTTTAAAACTAGTCGAAGAAGGTGAAATACAAATTATTGTATATAAATGACTGACTGAATTAATTGTATAAATAAAATAAATAAAAAAATGCAACATTTTATAATTTTTTATTTTGTTCAATCAATTTCAATTGTATTGATGATTGATCAGTGAACGTCATGGCAATTTTAAAGAAGTCCATGGACAAAACAATGCCTAAAAATTAAAAATCTAGTAATAAAAAAAAATCAAACTTATCATCTTCACCAGTGCAACTACAATTACAACATAATGCAATAACAAACCAACAACTCAGCAATACACCACCATCACATCGTCATGTTTTTCTGTCTCCATACCACTACTACACAGCTAGGTCCACTTTTCAACATCAACTAAAGTATATCTTATCTAACTATAAAGAACTTGAATAATTATATATATTATATATCAAATCAAATTTTGTGTTTATATAGCGCCAATTATAATTGCTTCTCATCAGCGCTCTCCTAGTATAAAGCATGTTTAAAGTAAAGCCATCATTGGTGGAGATCACTAAGAGTTACCAAATAGTTATGTCTTTAAATGTTTACTAAACTCAGCTAATGATAACCGAGATATACGTAATTCGATAGGTAGGCTGTTCCAAAAAACAGGCACAGCAACTGCAAAATCTCTATTTGCTGTTTTCAGATTCCGATCTCTAACATACAGCGTGTTTGAATCAGCAGACCTTAGACGCTTATGACATAGATGAAACTATAAAACATTTATCTTCTAAATATTTCGGAGCCAGACCATTCAAACTTTTAAATACCATTACACCCAACTTGAACACGATTCTTTAACACGCAGCCAATGCAACTCCTTTAGAATTGGTGATGCCTGATCAAATTTTAATTTGCGGTATATCATTCTAGCAGCCTGGTTGTGAACCATCTGAAATTTAGACAACAATTTATCGGCTATACTTTATAAAAGACGGTTACAATAACCCAATCTAGAGTTGACGAAAGCCTGTACTAATAATGTCATTGCATCTCTATCTACCGAATTTGTGATTTGACGTAACTGACGTATTTGGAACATACATTTTTTAATCAATAGATTGACTTGTTGACCCATTGTCATACGATAGTCCATCACAAATCCCAAATTTGTGTTCGTTTTACTGAAACTTATATCAGTCATTCTGAAGTTAATCGATGAAGGTTCAACCGCTGATGTTTGTTGCCATGTACCAGCCAACATGAACTGAGTCTATGTCTGATTGGACTTTACCCTACTTTGACCCAGCTTCGAGCCGACATCACTTATAGTTTTTGTCAGGTTTTTTAATACGGTAGGCATCTCATCTGGAAAACATGAAACACAAATCTGCATGTCATCTGCGTACCCATAGCAATAATAACCACCTTTATTTATTAAATCCAGTATCTATACAACGTACAAATTATAGAGACTTGGTTCAAGAACAGATCCTTGAGCAGGCCCGGTTCTTCCATTTAGCAAATTAGGCAGCTGCCTAGGGCCGCCGATTTTAGGGGCCGCCAATTTTGCAAAATAACCTAAATAAGCATAAAAAAATATTTATGGAATTTTAAAAAAATGAAACAACGATGAAATGAATTCCTTTTTTAAAATATGGAAAAATATTTTTAAAAAATTGTAAGAACCTATCCAATAAACTAAATAAAAATATGGGTGGATAAAATATAGGTTCAAAAATAATATTATATATTGTGTAATATCAATACGTATATAAAAAAAAACTTGAGAAAAAACCCATATATCATATATGGGTAGAGTGGCCGCCAAATGTCTGGAACCATCAGGCCTGTCCTTGAGGCACCCCTGACGTAAGTTTCATTGGTTCTGAGAGACCACCTGAGTAAGAAATCTGCTGAGTCCGACCAGTAAGAAATGATTCAAACCCCATCAACGCAATCTTTTTTAAGCCATAACAATATTTCAGTCTGTTCAACAGGATTTTAAGATTCACAATATCGAACGCCGAACTCATGTCCAGGAATGTCAACAAAGTTACTTTTTGTACATTGACTGCTGAATAAACATGAGAAAATATATTCAGATTAATGAAAAGACCAAATATCATTTTTATTTATGTGATTATTCAAAACTTGCTCAACAGAACGTTCTATAATCTTAGAAACGAAAAAAAAATTTGACACCGGCCTATAGTTTATCAGATCTGATTTATCTAACCCTGTCTTCTTTAAAATTGGCGTGACAATCGCATGCTTGCAAACCTGTGGCACTACATGTTAATTATATCCGTTAAGTATACAATAAAACGGTCAGTATATTCTTTGAATACATGCGTCGGTATTGGGTTCAGTGAGTTGGAAAGACTTTGTAGGGGACGAATTAACAACTTTAGATATCTGTTCTTCAGTCAACACTGGAAACGATTCGAATGGAAACATATTATTACTAATATTAGTATTAGTAAAAATAACTGAGAATAAAACATTCATTCGACTTTTCGGTCGATCAAAATAGAATTATCCAAGTTCATCATGAAAATTTAATGAAACTGTTGTTATCTATATTCATCATGCAGATAAGGCCTTATTTCGATTTTTCATAAATCATCATCAGTGCAGGTTTCGTTTAGTAAGTTTTTTAAAACAAAGCAAAGTTTTTTAGCAAAGTTTATTAGTTGGTGTTGTATTCTTCGTCTCTGTTGTTGTCATTCCTTTGTTCTTCGTTGTTATTGAAGTTAGTATTAGGGCGTCTAGTTGGTAATGATGTTATCATTCTTTGTTGGATGTTTATTTGGGGTTTATTGATATCTATTAGGACAGCTACTGCAATTTTTAGATGTGTTGTGTTGGTGTTTTGATAAATTATTTTTGTCTTGTCAAGAATTTGGCGGTTATTGGAGTTGTTGCATGTGTTGATTGCAAGTGAGATTTGATGGCTCCTCTGTGCGTATGCATTGTGAGACGTCTTGATAGTGAAATGGTCGTAACACCAATATACGAATGTTGTTGACGCGCACAGTTGTCAATAAGGCATTTAGATTCATATGTTGCATGATTACGCTTTAAAGTAGAATCGTCTTTAGGAGTGCAGTTGTTCTTTTAGACCAATTGTGATGACTTACAATTATTGTAGTATATCCTGAGTTTTATTTTATTAGTATAATTGATTGGTGTAACATTTCTTTATATGAATTGTTTGAGGACGACTTCGTCTATTTTATGTGCCGTTGGCATATGATTTCTGTTAATATAGGATAAAGTCGTTGTCACCGTTGTGTTTAAATATATGTATTGCTATCACGTTGTGTTGTAGTCTTTGTTGAATGGTGTTTAAAAAACTTTTTTTAAATAGAACTGTGAAGATATGGAACAAATTGCCAACCCAAGTGGTCGAAGCCGAAAGCGTGACCCATTTTAAAATGAATTTGAACGTTTTTATGGAAGATTTTGACTTTGTTGAAGATTTTGACTTTGTGTATGATTCTACAATTTCTACTGTTTTGTAATTGTTATCGCTTATCCTTTAATCCAGATGTTTAGTTAAATATTTTTATATCTGTCATGATATTTTTCGGATATGGGCATGTGCATATTGACTCTTGAGTTTCATCCCTTTATTTGCATGTTATGTTGTGCTTGATTTTGTCTCGTAAAGATTGTAAAGCGCGTGATGATACTTTCCTGACATCTAGCGAATGTATATTAACCACCTTGATTCATGAAAGCGTCAACGAATTTTGAATGTTTGTTTTCGCGTTCCGACGCAATACATATCATGTTTTAAGTCAAAGCCAGTTGCTGTTTACTGTTCTCCATTATTTTGCTTCCTATTACATTGCTGTTATTTTTAGACTGTTTAATATGGGAGAAATTATACTTTAAGCAAAAATCTTTCTTATTCTTATTCTTCCTACTTCTCTGACTACTTCTCCATCACTTAAGAAGTTCAGAGCGGATTTCAAAATTCATTGAGGAGCGCTGTTAAACATCGCGAAAATAGCGCTTTACAAGCTTAATGATTGATTGATTGATTATTAGTTTTATCTTGGAAAGTTTGCAACTAATCAAAAGGACTATCCAAAATTATTTGATAATGTGATCTTGACTCTAAATAAGTAGATACTAGAAATAAGTCCCAATGAATAGATTTAGAATAAATTTGAACGCCTAGATCAAGCCGTCAACGATTATTTAAATAAAATTGCATAAAACAACAGTGCAGCAATCTACCACAATGAAGTAAATAATAATAATAATAATAATAATAATAATAATAATAATAATAATAATAATGTCATTTTATACAGCACCATGGCAAGCGACTGAGGCGCATTATCATTATTACAACAAACACACGGTGCATAAATACACGTGAATCAACGCATCACACACTTTTGCATGTGATAGGCGGGGATCTCTTTGCATTCGAACCCGGACACTGCATCAACAATGCCTGGCACCTTAGCCATTACACCATCGGACCAAATTAAGAATGTCTGCACTTGATAAATACAACATAGAATGGCCATATTTTATGTGCGACTATAGAATGTATAAAACAATGACGTTCTAAAACGTTGCGTGATTAAAATTGCCTATGAATAAAATTTTTACATTATATTCGACGGCGCGATGAATGAATACTTCAAGATAAACCTTTGATGAGTTGGCAGGTTTTGTCGAACCTTTCGTTCGTTTTAATGTTCGTCCGTTCGTTCAACTGTTAATCGTTCAAACGATTTGCTCGTTTGTATATAGTGCGTCCTTAAACGTGTTTTTTTCATATAGAATATTTGTTTAAAAGCCTTGCTATAGCGGTCTAACTAAATATACTTTGTATTTAATCATTTCCAGACGCAACGTTCATGCAAAGTTTTTTTAATATTAGAATCACATTTTAAAAGAGCTCAGTTCTCAATAGATTAAAGATTAAGTCCAATTCATAAAAAAGTTGCTTAAATAGCTTAAAGACCTGGTCACTTTTACCCGCGTGTGTGCCGGTCTGATGTGAGCTTCGAATTGATGTCTCCAGCAAATAGTGTGGGTATCGAATTTGTGTGGGCCTCAGACTGATATGGGATTGGATTGTATTATATTTGAAAAAGATGACATTCAAGATTTTCTGTCTATGTATTGTATTACTTCCAATATTTGACTCGATATGATGAGGTGAAAGAACATTTCAATGGTGCTGGGCAAATCTTGGAATGCTTTTACTAGATTCGAAAAATTTTTAGCGAGTTTTAATTTGTAATGAAATGTCAGGAAATGTCATTTAAAAGTTTGATTCAATGAAGCGTTTCTGAGGAGAAGAAAAAGAAGTCATTCCTTCACTCATTCCATTTGTTTCCTTTTAAGACATCGTTTCAATGAATAAGTGGATTCGAAAAAATTTTTTGCAAATTTCCATTAGTTGATCAATTAAAACATTAAATTAATTTTCGCACTTCTGGCTGGTTCATCGTTTGTTCCTCACTCTCCGATATATCGTGAATTGCTGATTTAAATTTATATTTAAATTTTGCTCTTAATAGATACTCAAATCTTTTTTATAATACTATTATTATTATTATTATTATTATTAGATTGTTGTCTTTTTTAATTATAATTAAGTTTCATGTTTATTTAAAAAAATAATCTTGAAATCGTGCTGTTTGGTGCAACTTGAAGGCATTAACCGTTGATGACTTGTTGGTGCCGAGGTTGTTGTGAGTTTGTTGATGTTGTTGTCGGCAAGTTATTTTTAATGTTAGCCTAATCAATTGGGCCTCATTTGAATTGATTTTGTCGTTGTGTATTCCACGTGTTGCTGTTGTTGGTATCGCTATCAACATATCTTTCTACACTCAGCTATGTAAATAGTTCAAAAACTACAAATAAGCAGTAATGCACACATGCACTGAACATCCATGCAAACATGATGATGATGGCGATGATCATCATCATGTTCACCCCAATGATGACGTCATCACTGTCAGAGCTGGTAATGATTTATTTTATTAACGCAAATATCCACAGGTCTGTCACTTTTAATCACACCTCATCACATTTGCATCCATCACCAAGAAGTGGTCATCGTCATCTTCACCGTCATCGTCATCATCATTATTGTCATAGTCTTCAACAGTTACATTTTCAAATTCATCATTTCCATAATCATCATCATCATTGTCAACATCATCATCATCATCATCATCATCATCATCATATAAATAATAATAATCGGATTAATGCTAATTCAACGGATTTGCCTGAAAAAAAATAATGATCAACAACCCCAGCATGTAGCAGTGCGATAGTAAGTTTATACCTGAGTAAGCAACATTCAATTGATTCGTAACGAATTGTGAGTTATATGGGCTGTCAATATCAACGATGATGAAAAATAATTAAAAAAAGTTCTACCCAGTCACGAGCAGTAGACAAATCTCGTTTGAAAATATTCCAAGCGTCTAGGTGGTGGGTAGGCCGTCGATGTGAGTGAATAGAAGGCAGGCTAGCAAACAACAGCAGCTATGCAGGCAAGTGCGACTACACTCATCGCTCTTACACACACACACACACACACACACACACACACCACACACACACACACAAACACACACACTCACGCCCACATATAAATAATATTAATGATAAATGTACATATTATATATGTTGTGTGTGTGTTCATCTTTGATGTGCGTGCACTCGTTCAGTTATAAGCAATTCAAAGACAAACGCTCGAATACTAAAACAAAGACAAGGGGAGGTTGATGATGTGAATTCATTCATTTTGAAATGCAAGCAAAGTTGCGCCACAACCAACACGCTTATGCACAGTACAACACGACGACATGGAATACATCTCAATTAGAAATTAAACACCATTCGACAAATCTATATTGCAGGTCAGTAAGTGATACAATGAAATGAACACAGCAACACGTACACCGCAATATTATAATATAAACGGTTCGTGAAAAAACTGTCCCACATGTCTACAAGTGTGACCGGCCCCACACATACACCGTGCACAAAGTAAGCAGCGTCTTAAGTAACGATGTACTTTCTACTTGTAGCAAAGCATCAACAGTTGTAAGTACTCCTATATTTTGTAACGAAGCACTATTTTCAATTGCACTTTTACTCTGATATTCTTCCGTCATACTTAACTCGTTACAACAGACCTGGCAGGATCATTGCCTCCTGTGCCAAGTTTTCTACGATGCATGAAAATTTACGATTGCCGACAAAAAGAGCAGCCAGTCAGCAAGCCACACGCGTCCCTGGATGCAGACGGCGGTAGGGTGGACAGCAGCGTTGTTAACTTCGTTATCGGTGTGGCAGTACCTCCTCTCCGCGTCGTTGAATTCAAACACCTGACGTCGTAGGCCTGGTTGCAGTTTTTCAGCCAAATCATCAAGTCATTGAAGCATGTCGGAGTCAGCGAGGCAAACCAGGATAAAGATAATCTGGCTTCTCTTGCATTATTCAGACATGACATGAGTGTTCATTGTTTGGCTTTTTTTTCAGCTTGTACTTTTTAAGTACATTCAAAATGTGGTACTTCTGCTGTAGCAAAATTTTAAACAATATTTCGCCTTTACCCAGTGGCGTCACTAGGGTTGGTGTCACCCGGTGCGGTAACTCATGGTGTCACCCCTCTCATGACACCCCATAGACATACAGCATTCTTAGCAAAATTTATAAATACGAACAAGTTAAATGTGCTCGGCCGCGGCGCTTAATAATTCGGACGTCGAATTTGAATGGTATAAATGTCGAATACAAAAATGATTTGAACGAAAAAAATTTTATTCATAATACATTTCTGGGCGCTGGGCGGGTTAGGCTGAATTAATGATAAGAATAATTTCATGGAGGGACATAAAAACATATACAGTGATATTTTGGTGTCACCCCCTGTGAGGGTGTCACCCGGTGCGGTCCGCACCCCCCGCACCCCCCTAGTGACGCCACTGCCTTTACCCATGTAAATTTTTTATGTGTAACTTGTACTTTACGTGCGTACTGAAATTCAATACTGAAGAGTCCCATGCAGACCAGCAAATAATTAAATAGTTTATGTGGCCGACACCAGTTCGCAGCTCTGTTTGACATTTTGCTATTAAACAGCACTTTAAATGCGCTTGTTTCAAAATAAAAAATGACATCAATAACAAGATATATTGAAATTTATTAAAAACTACTCGGTGACTAAACTGAAAAAGCATTATACCGTAACATGCTATAATGAAAAAACCCTATAAATTAGTCACTACATGAATTAAAATTAATGTTACCCGAATCTATGAGTAACAAACACATCATTGTGAGATTTATAATATGGTATGGGTTTTTTAATTGTTATAATAAATCGAGAAGATGTGTGTTGTAAATAGTGGTTGTGGCTGTGAAGTTCAAATGGTTCAATTGAAAATGATCAATCATACATAGCAAGAAAAACACGAAAAGTAATAAAAATATATCATGGAATAATAAAGCTATTTATAAAAATAACTTAAAAAACAATTAATAAAAATAATAATAATAAAAATGAATATATTATTATTATATTTTTTACTGAATTTATAATTATTATTTAATGTTTGAAACCTGCTTCAAAGTTATCTTTCCTAGTTTAATGTCAGTCAGAGTGCGTGTGTGTTTTTATGTTTGTGCATGTGTTTGTGCATGTGTTTGTATGTTTGTGTATGTGTTTGTAAGTTTTTGTATGTGTTTGTGTATGTATTGGTGGGTTTATGTTGTATGAATGTGTTTGTATGTTTTTGTATGTTTATGCATGTGTAATGTGTTTGCATGCTTGTGTTTGTGTTTGTAAGTTTGTGTATGTGTTTGTATGTTTGTGCATGTGTTTGTATGTTTGTGCATGTGTTTGTATGATTGCATATGTGTCTGTATGTTTTCCTGTGCGTGTGTTTCACACGAACACTCTTGCGTGGTTGTTCGCACCAAGCAAACAGACTAAACGAACAAGGTGTATAAAAATAGATGATGATGAAATGGTGAGATGGCGAGAAAGGAGAGAGTGATTGTAATTAAAGTAATCAAAGAGATAATGAATGAGAGTTCATAATTGGCGTCGCCTGTCTTAGTCTGCCTTAAAAATTCGAATAAAAATTTAATTTTTTCTTCGCCGATATGTGTGAGAATGTTTGCAAGCGTCTTCATAGTTTAAACGTTCATCTTTACACGTATGAGAAGTGCGTGCGATTGAACTAGCATTTCATGTAAACAAGTATGTTAGAGTGTAAATATGCTTATTAGTGAATGATTATACCCGTGAATGTACGTATGTACTGTGCAAATGTTTTGTTGTATGTGTGGACGTGTGTACACATGTGTGTACGTGTATGTAAATGAATATGAATATGTCCGTGTGACTGTTAGTGTGCATACAAAAAATGATATATATAGGCCATAGACGTGTGTAAATGATGGCCAGTGCAATCCTGCACTCTTATCTCACCTTTAGGCAATCCTGCACTCCTATCTCACCGTTAAGCAATCCTGCACTCTTATCTCACCGTTACGCAGTGGAATCCTCAATGATCGGCAGGCACCAACTTGAGACGCACGCAACGATCCTCCCTGTAGCGTTTATAATTTTCGTGACGCATATCATTCGACTGTGGACACTTGTGTGCGTGTGTAACTGTGTTTGTACGTGCGTGTGTATATCTATGTTTGTATGTAACTGTGTTTGTATGTGTGTGTATTTCTATGTTTGTATGTGCGTGTGTAACTGTGTTTGTTTGTGCAAGTGTCTGTATAGGTTTGCCAATGCATGTTTATGTTTTGAGAGGTGTTAGTTTTTTGAGTGCTTTTGAAGAACCAGAAGAAATTATTCAGCCTATTTCATGGCAAATTATTTCTAACAAAATAACACCTAATTGTGACTTTAATCAAAGGTGTTCCTTCTAAACCGTCTCAATGCAATTTGGCGAACTGGTAAAGAATAACTAAGACAACACTTCAAAAGTTGAAAAATAATTAACTTGACAAATTTTAAATTAATAAGTTTTGCGTGTGTTAATTTTTTTTTATAAAATAACTAATTAACACGAAAACGTTTATGATTTACAAGTTTATTTGCATTGAAATTACAAATAAAACTATGAGAAAATATAAATAAATAGACAATAAGTGTTATAAACATAAATACATTGCGTGTTATAAGCATAAATTACATTACATTGTATTTATGTGTGTGTGTGTGTGTGTGAGAGAGAGAGAGGGTTGTGTGTGTATGTGTGTGTGTGTGTGATGTGTGTGTGTATGCACAGTACATTTATATTCATGAATGAATCATATACACATGACCAGAGAATGAGAGTGAAACAAAAGATAATTAATCAAATTATATAACATTGCATCCCAAATGGTAAACAATCAGTCCACGAGTTATCACTCTCACGATCTCACAGTTTTATCTAAGCCGGACCACGTGTGCGTGCGTGTGCAGAATAGTTTAACGTATTCTCATGAATTTTAAAATCTCATTTTTCATTAAATAAATATTATATTGTTTGGAAAGTAATTTCATTTTTTCTTGAAAGAAGGATTTGATTGTAATTTTTCACAGCTAACTTCGCACTTGAGACGCATTGTCATTATATGTTTTGACAGCTGAATAGCAAGGCTTGTGGGTGAATAAGTTCAATTAATTTTACGCAGTAGTTTTTGGTCGGTGCTCTTTGAAATATGGAAAAAAATAAGCCACATTTTCGCCATATTTTACTTTTCTACTATGGAAAAAAATGCTGTGTACGGAGAAGATGTGTTAACAATAGGCAGTGCCAAAACTGGATTGCAAAATTTTGATCCGGACATTTTGATGTCGAAGATGCGCCACGTTCTGGGAGGCCAGTTGAAGCTGATAAAGACGCGATAAAGGCATCAGTTGATGCAAACCGGCGAATAACAACACGTGAGATTTGTGAGAGGTAAAATTTATCAAATTCAACTGTTTATGGCTACCTTAAAAAAAACCTGGGTTTAACCTCAAAGCTCGATATATGGGTTCCCAATGTCCCAACGGAGAGAAATTTGTGTCGTCGCGTTGACCTCTGTGCTTCACTCCTCAAACGTCACGAAAGCGATCGTTCTTTACAGGGGACAAAGAATGAGTTGTCTATAACAATGTCAAACGCAAGAGATCATTGAGCAGAAAAGATAGGCCGGCTCAAAGCATTTCAAAGCCAATATCTATCAAAAAAATATGATGCTGTTTGTTTGGTGGGATTTTAAGGGAGTCACTTTTTTTAGCTTTTACCGGATAACACAACAATTAATTTGGAAGTCTTATGTCATCAGATGGACCAACTGAATGATGCGCTTCAACAAAATTGCCAAAATTAATCAACAGACTTCATTTCTCCAAACCTCATTATGGGACTCATCAGTAGTCCAAGTTTAAACACTAGCTTAGTACAATTACTATCTCTGTAGACAATGTTGCAAACTAAGGTGTTTTTAAGTAATTCAGAAAAACACATTTTGGTCGATGGAGACGTACTGTAAATCTGCCAAAAAAGAAAATAGTGAATCGACTTGAACCCACAAGTACGTGAGTGTAGAAAAAGTGAGAGTTTCCGACCTCTTGAATAAATTGAATAATATTGATAAAATAATTGTTCGAAAAATTGATAAATATATATATATATATTTGGGATTTAGAATAATCCATTATTCTTTATCCATTATCCAGATATCCTTTTTATTATTGGTGTTTATATAGCACATTTTTAATGTAAACTTCTCAAAAGTGCTTGACTCAAATTTTAAGGAAAATAAACTTTGCAAAGACAAACGTCAGATTAAAGATCACTTCAAGGAAATATCAATTTTGTGATTTATTAACAATTTATGCTTTTATTTAATTAACTAATTTTTGGGGATTCAGGCTTATGGGTTGTACACCTGCGCCTAATAAATTGTGTCTGTCATGTTATGTTAACTTTAGAAATTTATATCGACTCAAAAATTGGTTAGACAGATCAAAAAGATAGATCGGTTATGGAAACATTGGTTTACACTTTTATAATTCCTCGATTCATTATTATAACAGTTTATGGTACAAATTGTCAGATAAATCAATTGTTGTACTTTAATCTATTCAAAAAAGGGCTGCAAAATTGATAGCTGGTGAGTTAAAATCCGACCCGGTAACACCAATCCTGAATGAACTACATTGGTCCAAAAAGGTTCCATCTCAGATCATACGTTACTGGTTCCCAAAATACTGCTGTAGCTGACCCGGAATGTCTCTTACATCGTTCGAAAAAGAATTGAAATCATTTTTATTTTTATTAAAATTACATTAAACTGATTTTTTGTAACTACAGTTTATTTGAATTTGAGAGCGCCTGTAAGAATATTTAATGAGTGCTATATATAAATGATCCTTAATAATAATAAAAATTTTCATGTTTGTATTTGTTTTTATAATTGTGTTCAAAATGCACAATATATATATATATATATATATATATATATATATATATATATATATTTATATACTCATATAAATAATTACCGTTTATATTAATACTGAACTACATCATTTCAATTGTGAACAACAATAATAATAATAACGAGATATTGACATAAGCTCGACCAAACATATGAATAGGAGTATGAAAAATATAATAACAATAATAATAACAATAATAGTAATAATAAAAATATATTTTTGTAGTTAGCATTGCTCACCGTCGACTATTTAATTGGTAAGCTGAAGAGAGTGCCTTAGTTTCGTCCTGGAGAATTTTCGACAATGACAACTTGAATTTATTCATTCGTTTTTATGATATGGAATGATTACTGAAGAAAAATATTTTTGATATTTATTATTTCGTACAAAGTTTATTTTTAACAGACGCACTTTGGATATTTTGTTTGAAAAGTTATAGAGAGACTGAATACAGGAGAAAGATTTTTTAACAAACGTGAACAAATCTTAAAAAGATGAAGG